ATAATGAAAGAATGGTTGAAATATAATTTTAAGTTTTATTAGTTGAAAAAAAAAACTAAAGAATTTAACTAAATATATATTAATTCAATACCTTTTCAATTAACTATATATAAGTTTTTCAATCATGCTAATTAAAGCAAAAGCATAATGATAATGACCATATTCTTATATGAAAACTATTTTAAATAAAAAATAAAAATATTGTGAATTTTTTATAACAAGCATGGTATTGTTGTTTCTAGTTTAAAAAATCATCTATTTTTATCATAAATACCAGATTAGAAGAAAGATACAAAGCAATAATTAGATTTGAAAAAGAAAAAAATGAAATTAACACTGATCCTTTCATAATCATCTGATCATAATAATTATGGAGATAATTTGATTTTTGAGATATCTAAATTCATTTAATAATAAAACAAGTATAATTTGTATGACGTCTATCTTTTTTATTTTTATATAACTTCATATATTCTTCATTTAACTGGTTAGAAGCTGTAATTGGTCATATTGTTTTTTTTATTATTATTAAAATAAAAATTTTGAATAACGTATAAGATTTTTAAAAATTTGTTCGTAACTTTTATGTATCGATATTGCATTTTAAATTTTTTTAGAATTATAGTTTCTCTATATCCATATTCGTATTGTACTCGTGTTTTGTTTTCGTGCCCATTTTTTTTATAGTATTTACACAGCCATTTTTTAACATGCGTAGTGCTCTAGATCATTAACCAAATATCCCAAGCAACAAAGGAATATTGGCTTCAATTTTGGCAGTCAAGATTCTTTTAGTTATTTTGGAAGTGATGGTGCCTAAACATTGGAGACATTCGTTGAGAAAGAGTGGGATAGATTATTGGGTTGGGTTCTTGCCCACTATTTTCTTCCTTGTTCCAAATATTCTCCTTTCTCTTCGTGTTTTAAGCCATGCTCAGAGTGACAGGCAAATGTTTCACTTCCACTTCCCTAGGTTGTTGGTGTAATCCAGGTTCATACAAAAAACTCCCATGAAGTAATCTCTTTATCAAGGTAAAGAGAGAAAATGACTTGTCGAATCTTTGTCTTAGATCAAGAGACATGTGTTTGCAGTTTTTGTGTGCCCAAAAAAAGATTGCTTTTATTTGTTTATTTTTTTGGGTAAAAAATCAATTTATAAATATCAACGGATTTTGAGAGGGGTATCTGTAGCAGTCTAATCCCTTTTTTTGGTTTGTTAAGAAATTTGAATGTTTTTTTTTGTCGTTGCTGCTGCTGTTGTATAATGGGGATAACCTCTTTTTTTTTTTTTTTTTACAAATATAATAATATAAACAATTTACTTTATTAAAGTAAGTTCTTGATTTGAAAATTTAGCTTGATTTTTTTCTTAAAATAATTACATGATGCCTTCCTCTGAGTTGGACTAATAAATTAAGTGACTAGAAAGCAACATTAATCAAATTACAAGTATAATAGCTATTTAATAAGTTTAAGATGCAATTCAAGAATGTTGAATTGAGTAGAAAGAGTTATAGTAATTTAAATAAATAATTTAGATTTCGAATTTTTATGTATTTAAAAAATTTATTGAATAATTACATTCGTTTTGTAAATCCCATCAAATAAAAAGATATTAATTTAAATTTTTTAGTCTGAAATATCCAGAAAATATTAAAAAAAGAGAGACAAAATTAAGATGCATCCATGGCATTGAGCATTTGCTGGTTTTGTTGTAATTTTCAAAATTGCTTTTTTTTTTTTTTTAACATCCATTGAGGAAATACTTGTATCGTACTAGTTATACATACAAGAATTGTATTTATACTTTATCAATAAATTATAATTTAACTGTTTTTAATATTCTCCTCCCTTCAAAGATTTCCAACTTCTAATTGTATATATATGAAAAAAAAAACCTTATATTAACAATAGCGATTGACCAAAAAAAAAAGAAAAAAGAAAAAGGAAGAAAGAATCGGGAAGAAAAAAGCATGTGTAGTTTGAGCTTATAAAAAGTAAAAGGTATGATGCACTTTGAGACTTTTTTGTACAAAGGCAAGTCAGAATGATCAAGGTTGACATCTATTTAGTCGATTAGTAAACACAGAGATATTACTTTTTTTTCCTCAAGTACATCTATTTATAACGGTTTTTTTTCAGGTCCATATAAAAATAAATAAATAAAATAGTGTCATAAGTCAAAAGTAAGAAAAACATGGTAATCCCATCCACAAACTCTAATCTAGAAGTAGTTATTAATTTAAATTATTGGGGAAATCTGAGGAATTATAGCATCATCCCATAACATAAAATCATTTTCATGCAAAATCTTTGTAGATAAATTTGAATTGCTTTCATATATACTCCTTTTCTTCTTAAAATATTCATCAGATTTTAAACTCATTTTATTAAAAAAAAAATCTATCGGGCATTACACTAAATTTTTTCATAAAATTTTAATTATCTTTTGATTATTAAAAAAGTTGACAATGCTTTTTTGATTACCTTCTATCTTAAAAAGAATTTAATGCATTTATGTAGCGATGATATCATTAATTTGTCCTCATGAAAAAGGGTAGAACGAGAGTGAGTGAGAGACAGCAATTATATATATATATATATATATATATTTTTTCCTCCTTAAAATACTCAGCAGATTTTAAACTTATTTTTCTAAAAAAACTATTAAATATTGAATCATCAGACAAAACTATTTCATAAATTTTTTTACTATATTTTAATTATTAAAAAAATCGATAATGTTTTTTGTTATTAACTCCCATCATAAGAAGAATTTAATGCATTTATGTAATGATGATATCATTAATTTGTCCTTATGAAAAAGGGTAGAATGAGAGTGAGTGATAGATAGCAATAGGTAAAGAGTCAAAAGATCTTTGATGATTACTCTTTTTTCTTGCCCTCATGGGCTTTAATCAATCATCTCCCATCATGAACATTCCCACATACACGCAGCAATCCTTCTCCATCTCTCATCATATTGTTCCACATGTCATCATCCCACACTCCACTCCAAAAAAACTCCCCACCACCAATAAGCAAGCCGAGTAAATAATAAATTATTCTTCTATTTTTTACAAAGATGATAATTAGTTATTCATACTTTTAAAACTAATTATTTTATTTTCCATGCCTAATTTAATATTGCTCTATTTAAAAAATAATCAATTTAGTTTTTGAAGATAAACTAGATGACTAATTATAAATTATTCCTATAAAAAACAACATCCACATAAGAGAAAAAAACGTAAATAAATACCATTTACGTAATTCTGACAAAAAAGGAAGGGCAATCAGAGGTATAACGTCAGCAAGACAGCAACCTGCACTACTGTTGTTCCCCAGCATCTTTGAAGAACCGTGTCAGTGGTATCCCATGTAATTTTCTCCCAAATCAATACTTCTTTCCCAACCAACCCCCTCTTTCCTTGTGTTTAACGGGGCGCAATTTTTTTGTTTTTAGGTTTTTATCAAATATCAAGGTTTTGTGAGTAAATTGTAAATTAATCTCTTTATTTTCATAAAAAATTAAATAGTTTCTCATCTTTTAAGAAATAATTAATTAATCTCTCAACTATTATTGATCATGATTAATTTAATATTATTTTTTTATAAAAAATATTTTTTTCTCATCAATCTTTATATCTTTTATTAATTATTTATAGAAACCAAAAGAAGAAAAAAATATTAAATGAAAAATATATTTAAAAATAAAAACTAATTGATTAGTTATTTAAACTAGAGAAATTATTTAGTTCTTTTAAAAACTAGAAAGAATAATTTATAATTTATTCAGTGTTTATTAAGTCGGAGTTTATGTAATTTATTATAGTTTAAATTTAATGTGAAGGGGTTTAAATAATTGCGAAATAGGTTTTGCTTTTTATTTTATTTTATATGTTTTGAATTCAAATTATTTTTTTAAATACATTATAATAATATTTCTAAAATCGTTCAAGAAAAAAACTTAATCACAGGATAAGGCAAGAATATTAAATTTTTTATAATTATATACCTTTTTTTGATACATAAAATGAATGTACATTTAGATTGGTTATATATTTAATATGAAAATTATGGTTTTTATATCTATATTTATATATTTAGATGAATCACACTGCATTTATATCAGGACTAATTTGAGGTAGACCTTCCAATGTTTGGGATCCATAAATTTTTAAATAGAACATTCAGTAATTAGAAAACAAATATATATATTTTTTACATTTTTGTCCTAAATTTGAAGTTTATATTATAATAATGAGTGAAATAAATTCATCTAGGGTGATGCTAGCCTTCCAGGTACTTTTGGGTCTTTTTAACATCTGCACAGAAAAATAATAAAAAAAGTCTTTTTTAAGACACAACACAACACAACACAATCGAAAAGAGAATATTATCTGAAAGAAAGAGAAAGAGAAAGAGAGAGAGAAAGCAGCTCAAAATCCTGGGAACTTCACCAACCCAAGTGAGAAACCAAAAATCAAAAACCAAAACCAAAGAGAGCAAGGAGCAAGATACAGACTCAGCACCAACCATCCTCTACGAAAGTTTTAGTCTTATTTTTCTGTCTTTCTTTTTTTTTTTTCTCGGTCTGTTCTTCTACCTTTGTAAAAAATGGAACAAATCAAGGCCACCTTCAAGCTAGAAGCTTGTGGCATAATCTAGGAACTTAGAGACATTTTTGGTTCTCTTGTTTGAAAATCTTCGTGGGTTCTTCTGTGTCGGTGGTGGGAATGGGTTGCAAGAAAATGATGATAGCAGTGAACTTGGATCCATATAGAAAGAGGAGTGGTGGTCTTAGAACTAAACAGGCTGGGAGAGGATCCTGTCGTGGAAGTTAGACTGTTAAAAAAATGTGCAGTCTTTGGCACTGACCAGACATAAAACAGTGACTCCACTTTTGTTACTCTTTTCGTGTTATTAAGTCGTTATTCTTGTTGTTTAAGGTTTAAGGAAAGCCTTAGTTTTGGAGGTCAGTGACTTGAAGTTGTGAGATGGGTCTTTTGTTGAGAGAAGTTTTGAAGACACTTTGTGGTGTTAATCAATGGTCTTATGCTGTTTTTTGGAAGATCGGATACCAGAATCCTAAGTAAGTTTTTCTTTCCTCATTTCTTTTGTTTGTTTGTTTGGTTGCTAAGCAAATGGAGGAGAATGAAAAGAAAAAAGGTGAAACTTTGAATATACTAGACCTTTTGTTTTCTGTGGTTTTACTTTTTTGGACACTTCTTATGACTCTTTTTTTTTTTTTCGACTTTTTGTGTTTGTTTGGTAGGAAAATAGAGGGAAAACTATAGCTTTTGTTTTTGTTTTTTTTTCTTGGGGTTTTCTTTTCTTTTATTTTTGTTGGACTTTTCCTGTATTTTCTGAGTGACCAAACAAATAGGATCTGATTAATTTTAGCTTTTGTCTGTCCTGGTGTTAACATAGATGCGGGGTTTCTTTTTTGCTTCATGTATTTTCTCGGTGACCAAACAAAGAGGGTCTAACATTATTGTTTTTTTCTTTTTGAGTTATTTTGGTCTTTGAATGATATGTTAAAGTCTGGTTGTTCCTTCTTTTTTTCCCTGGTCAGAAGTCTGATTGGTTACTATTGTCTTATGTAGGATGCGTAATCTAATAGACCCTTACTTTTTCTTTCTGTTTTTGGAATCATGTGTTTTGGTTTATTCTGTTTTGTCTTTAAGAATCTCAGCCAAAAGTTAATTTGTATTGGTTTGACTAAACCCTTTCTGTATTGGACTGATTTTTTGTTCTTCAAATCACTGATTCCAATTTGTCTTGTTCGTTTGATTCCATTCCATCTTGTTATTTTGGTTTTGAATAGAAATAGAAAGTTATCATTTTATGAGCAACTGAAGATTATGCTGACTGGTTACTTTATTTTTTTGTATCTTCTGTTTGGATGCTAAGTAGATGTAATAAAAGAAAAAGGGAATAAAAATCATTATAGAACATGGGATCTGAATTTTGTGTTGTTTTCTTTTCTCTTGGCTTTTTGGTAACTAAACAGAAGGTGACATTTGTTTTTTCTGGTCTCAGTTACTTGCCTAATTCTGTTATAGACTTGAAGGATCTTTAAATATTCTATATAATCTGCAGGTTATTAATTTGGGAGGAATGTCACTACGAATCAATATTATGTTCAGTTCCAGAAAGTACTTCTGGAATTGAGAACCTAGCACAGCCTTTTGGAGAATGGGGAGGATATTTAGGTTCTGGCGTTCATGCCTCGCAGCCTGGAGTTCAAGCAGTGGATAGACTACGTTTGCTTATCAACAAAATGATGGCAAATAATCAGGTTAAAATAGTCGGTGAAGGGTAAGTTTTTCTTCTTTTTCATGTACCTTTACGTTTTAGTTTCACATTTTGACTGCCTTCTCTGTTTTGCTCAATTGAAAGTCTGATTTGTTATTTTCCAGAATTGTGGGGCGGGCTGCTTTTACTGGAAACCATGAGTGGATTCTTGCAAACAATTACAGAAAAGATGCTCACCCCCAGAAGTATGCTACACAAATTTTTCGTCCAAAGCTATGACTATTTTTCCCTCAGCAATGCAATGCGGTTGTACTGTTAGTAACTCTTTGTAATTTCATTCTCATCTGTTCTACAGGTTTTAAATGAGGTACATCACCAGTTTTCAGCTGGGATGCAGGTTTGTTATCTTTCCATAAGTTCTAATTTCTGCATAATCTTTAATCTGCCTTCTATGAATGTAATTTTATTTGCTTTGCAGACAATTGCTGTTATTCCTGTTTGTCCTCACGGTGTAATTCAACTAGGTTCATCCTTGGCTGTAAGTCCTTGTTATTCAGTTGTTTTGATATGCTAATGAATTGAACTTTCAAATTCCAATAATATCGTGTGTATGTAATTTCACGTCAGTTGTTGGTTAGGATTTTATTTTTTATGTATTAGTGTTGCTATTTGGATGTTCTATGGAGTTAATATTTAGTTCTGAGGCAACCAATTTTCTAAATTATGCATCACCATTGATACTATGGCTATACTTGTAATTTTCAATATTCTATTGCATTGGTCACTTGTTCATTACGTCAAAGCAGTTTGCCTGTTGTTTCCATATATTTATACGTTATCTTTACCGTTCAGATTCCAGAGAACATTGGACTTGTGAATAACGTGAAGAGTTTGATCCTGCAACTAGGGTGTGTCCCTGGAGTCCTGCTGTCTGACAACCATATGGAAAAAGAATCTACACAGAGAATTGGAATACCTATTTCCTGTGGAATGCCTCCTCCCGTGCATTTTTCTGGAGATTATAAGGTGCCAAACTCCACTCCTTCCTTGGTGGACAGCTGCAACCAACAAACAATCTCATCTCAGGTGGCTTCTAGAATTGTTGGCCAACCTTATTCTCAAGCTAGACAGATTCTGGATAATCAACATGCTACTTCTTCAGCTATTCATATACCCAACGTGACTAAAACTTTGGCTAAATCTCGTGAAGACTTCTGTGAACCCAAAATTACTCCACTGAGGAAGCTAGACATCCCATTCATGGGCCAACTAGCCAATGGAGCTGTTGGAGCTGAAGTGATCCCGCCGAATCCTGGTGCATGGCTGAACCAGCAGACTGCTTCATGCAATTCCAGACCTGAATTCAGTCATCAACCATTTGTTAGCCAATCAAATGGCAACAATAACACCCCAAAATTACTGGAACAGCAGATTTTCTCTGATGTTGGTGTGCGAAATCATGTTAGTCACAGTAAAAACGAATCAGATAGCCTTACTATGGCCTACGCAAGGACAAATGGAGGCCATTTTACTTCTCCTGGAGCTTCTCATACGTATGGGCAGTTACCCAATGATGTGGGTGGTCAGACAAGAGCAAACTCAATTCCATGCTCTCTATTAAAACTGCAGAAGTTGGCTGATATTAATCACTCGTCCACACTTATGGCAGGGGTTGGAATTCAAAATGTTGGTTCATCAAGGGCAGAGGAGGTTCATTTATCCAGTCTGTCGGATCAATTAAGTGCGAGTGGCATTCTTGCAGGCAGTTCTAATCATGATCATCATCCCACAGATCTGAAGCCTACTAAAAATGAAACAACTGCAATGGAGAAAAAGATTGATGGTGATTTGTTTCAAGCACTTAACATCCCATTGACTCAATCAGGTGAACACGTATATTTGGGTGATGACATCCTTGGTTCCGTTAATGATTGCCTGAAGAACGCTTCTGGAAGTCAGAATACCGTTATTGTAAATGCTAAGTGTGAGGAACCATCTGCTCAACCTCCCTCTGGGGATGACTTGTATGATGTTTTGGGTGTGGAATTTAAAAACAAATTACTCAATGGCAAGTGGAATAACTTAATTGGGGACCAGCCATATGTGAAGACACAAGGTATGGTTAAAGATGCTCCAGCATTTATGAGCATCCGAGAGGCAAATTCTGATCTCTTCTCACTTAATGAAGGAATATCAGACAGTAATATGTTTAATGAGATGGGCACTGATCATCTTTTAGATGCCGTGGTATCTAGGGCGCATACTGCTGCCAAGCAGAGCTCAGATGATAATGTTTCATGCCGGACGACATTGACAAAGATCAGTACGTCATCCTTTCCCAGTAGTTCTCCTACCTATGGCAGGATTGGTTTGCCTGATCAGGTGCAAAGGGAGTTAATAAGCCTACCTAAAAAAGCAGGGACCATAGCTTCTTGCTCTTTTAGATCTGGCTGCAGCAAGGATGATGTTGGAAGTTGTTCTCAAACCACTTCCATTTATGGGTCCCAACTGAGTTCCTGGGTTGAGCAGGGGCATAATGCACGGCATGATAGTAGTATTTCAACTGCATTTTCTAAGAAAAATGATGAAACAAGCAAACCAAATCGTAAAAGGCTTAAACCTGGGGAGAATCCGAGACCCAGGCCAAAAGATCGTCAGATGATCCAAGATCGTGTAAAGGAGTTGCGTGAGATTGTACCAAATGGAGCAAAAGTAATGTCTCTTTAATCCTTCTGCTGCACATCTTTTTTCCTCTGATAATTAATGATGACAGTCAAATTTGATATTATTCTTTCTTCTGTTACTGTGGTCTAACAGTGTAGCATAGATGCTCTGCTTGAACGCACCGTCAAGCATATGCTTTTCTTGCAAAGTGTGACAAAGCACGCAGATAAGCTAAAGCAAACAGGGGAGTCCAAGGTATCGATTGCATATACCATTTATATCTTATACATGGTAATTTGTACGGGTGTTTCTTTGTTTCCCGCCCATTCTTGACGTAATGGATGGAGAACATACTCTAATGTTTTGCCGAACCTTTGTCTAGTACAAGAACTGCTACATAGGGGTATTGGGAGCAGGAAGTGAAATGCCCATGAGATTTAATTGGCATAAACATGATATCGCGATATCTTGTCCTATTAAGTACAGTTATCAAGGACATCAGTCAAGATTTATGTACAGATATTGTATATTGGAAATGATTAAATTACTCTTATATCTAACTTAGTTTTTTGACATTTTGTGCTTAGTACTATTACTAGCAAGAGTAAAATGTTTCTGATTGTGTATTTTATTCTCGTGTAAATATGCAGCTTATTAACAAGGAAGGCGGACTACTTTTGAAGGACAATTTTGAGGGAGGGGCAACTTGGGCATTTGAAGTTGGTTCACAGTCTATGGTCTGCCCTATCATAGTTGAAGATCTGAATCCTCTGCGTCAGATGCTTGTGGAGGTAACTAAACCTTATTTTTTCCTTCACTCTGATATTGGAGCTGTTGGTTTTAAAAGTTTCTTTCATCCTGTGTCCAATCATATATCCTCTCGTGACAGATGCTTTGTGAAGAACGAGGTTTCTTTCTAGAGATAGCTGACTTAATTAGGGGATTGGGATTGACAATCTTGAAGGGGGTGATGGAAGCTCGGAATGACAAGATCTGGGCACGTTTTGTGGTAGAGGTAGGATTCTAAACTGAAACCCTGCATGCACTAATGAACAAGTAACCTCTCATTGAACGAATGTGGTTTGGCCTCACCTTTTTGGATCATCCTCCCTGCAGCATCTTATTTAATTCACTTTTTAGTTGGAAAGAATTAGTCCATTAATACAACTGCGTCCATCTGTTCGTATGAATAATAATATTAGATGTTCTCGCAAATCTAGTTTTGTCAAAAGTAGGGAGCAAAAACCATTAATTCCCAGTGTCACTAGTTGAGTGTGTCCTAGAATTTCCTTCGGTTTAATTAACCATGTTACTGTTCATTTATTCCCATTCACAGGAGTTGTTTTGGCTGTAACCGAATGATTTTTTTCAGTCTTGCCTTTATCTTTTGTATTTCCCCGTTGAAGTGGATGAACTGTTTTGACTTTTTGATAGGTAGCAAATAGTGGCCTAGTGCACTTTTATTCTCCGACTGAACTGATATTGATTTTTTCTGGCAAACAACTTCCAAGCTTTGACCTTTTCTTATCTTGATATGAATGAATAGATTAAGAATATTGCTTTACTTTAAAGACATTTAGGTTTGGGTGCTTCTAACAACGTGTTTATTTTGAGAAGAAAAGGTGCACATTCATTTTTGTTGTTCAAGGGAGGCATTTCGAGGAAAAATGAAGAACTTCTGATCCTCTTGCTTTTTTTGAATTACGAGACTGATAACCAAGTCTTTTGTGAAACAAACAAGCATGATGCAATGTTTTTCTTTTCTATTTGACTATTTAGCTGATGTGGCTGTTTCCATGAATGCAATTTTTGTTCATTTTAATGCAAAAGAGCATTACAGCCAGAGTTTTAGTCAAGGTTTTCTCAGAATTGATCTCCCTGATAAAATAAAAATCATTCATTTCTTTGTGAAAACTCTCTTGAGCTTAAGCTTTGCAATGAACTTGAAGTTTCGGATATGCGCTATGCTCAGTTCTTGCCTCTGTAGTCTGTACTTCATCTGTTTGTGTTTCTGTGACTGTTTGTCTTTGACCCAGACAACTGGTGGGCAAGGTTGTAGGGAATGATAGTTTTGAACTCTATGCTTGATATGATATTGAGCAGGATATCTGTTACTTTGAATAAATAATTTGCTGTGCTTCATGCATTTGTTTTGCTTCCTTCCCTTCCCCCCACCCGCCTCTCTAGGTAAATCATTTAATTTAAACCATGTATTGGCTATTTATCTATTATTTCTAGGCATGATCCAACATTGATTCTATTTTAGATTTCCCAAGTTCGAAATAATCAAGTAGATCTGCTCTGTAGGCAAGTTTGTGGCATACTTCAAAATAAAAACATCAAGGAAAATCTGCTTTGTCTGCTTGTAAGATAAGAGAAGACAATTATTTGATATAATTTGTTTGTAGTGCTTAAAGCAAAACTGAAAACTTTGGGATATTTGTTCAAAAGCTTTAGCTGGCTAGTTTTCAGGACTTTCTATGTCCTCCATGCATAGAATAAAAAGTGACATGATGCTAGCTCCTTTTCGTCATTCATCTTCAGGATTGGAAGATTTTTTAATTAATAATACGACCAAATGAGTATGTTCTCTCACATTTTGTCTTGAACTGCAAGATCTTGGGAAAAGAAATGTATAAACTTGGTCAAATGTCTCCAACTTGCACTTGTATGTGCTGTGCAAACTATCATGCTTCAGTGTAATTTTCAGAAATTATTCTTTAAATTGTTGGCGATCTTATCATGTGCATAATTATGGTCGCATCCTCATCCTCCATGCTATGCTAAATGTGCATGTGCTTCTTTTACCATCTAAAATTAAGTACCATGTGCAGGCAAACAGGGATGTGACAAGGATGGAAATATTTATGTCTCTTGTTCAACTTTTGGAGCAAACTGTCAAGGGCAGTGCACCGCTAGTGGGTGCTTTGGAGAATGGCAATATGATGGTTCATCAAACTTTCCCCCAAGTAACCTCGATACCTGCAACTGGTATGCCTAATAGTTTGCATTGAACTGCCTGCTAAACAATATTTCTGGTGTGGATATGTTAAGAGCAAGTGCAGTTTTGCTTGCCATGACTAACATGTGTTCCAGCCTAAGCTCTCTGGCAGTTCTATCTCTAACTTTTATGTCTCCCAAAAATTAGATTATGCCTAACCTCACCTCACAGAAGGGGAGGTTTGTTTAGATAGCTAGAAGCTTCTCAAGAACTTTCGACCTTGTGTTCCTTTTGGAGATGGGTATCTGAATGTTCGGATCATCCAGAGTTGGGGAAAAAAATTTAGCTTCAAGAGTTCGTATAAGGGTGGTTGTGTTGTAGGTGACTAGACATCAATATTGCTGCAGAATCTTAGTTTAGTCTCATTTTAGGCTGGAGAATGGTTGCATAGCAGTGGTTATTGTGGTGTTAACAAATGTATAGGGGATGTTGGATATTAAATGAAGGGGTTTATTTATTTTTTTTTTTTCGGCAAGACAATGTGCCTCATTTTTTTTTTCTTTCTTGTGTTACGAGTTTCTGTAGTGATTTTGATTTCCCCCCGAACCTTTTAATCTGTGTGGTTTGCAAGTCAGTGATTTTTTTTTTCACTTTGGCTTTGACGTTTTGGTAGTATCTCTGAGCAAGCATAATATTGTCAGCTATTTGATTTAAACTGTTAATTACTCGAATGTTATTGGTTTTTCGGTTCCTCTTGATTCCTGTGCATGTTGATAGCATCGTGACCGGTAGGAGTATAATCTTGCATGGATGATGTCACTTGTTTTAGCCTAATCATCTGATCTATGTTATGTTTTCTCCACTATGCATGATTTATCCTGCATAATGGGGTATTGTGTGGTGATCCAGCTACAAATAGACATGGCACCAGGGCTGATAAATCATTCTGGGTGGCTCTGAATGCTAATAATTCCAACTTCTTTATCTCCAAAAAGAAAGAAAAAAAGAAAAAACCAATGTTCATTCCATGGTTTCTGCTCTGCTTGTTTAGTACTTTGGGTGGATGCGACATATCTTTCATGCCTGTTGACAATATGGATCAAGATGAAAGGGAGAGTGGCAATGGGTATTAGATAATTACTAAACTTTTGAGTCTTATCCGTTTCCTGTGTTGATGGAAAGTTTTCCAACTAAAGACAGCTATTTGAGTTGCTCAGATTCTAGAGGAGTAGTTGGAATGGCTTGTCGTCATCTACTTGTTGTTTAACACTGCCATTAAATCGGGTCCCTATCCTCAATGCCTTGGACGCCATATAAGGAAAAATTGTCCTCTCTATTTTTTATTTTCCATTTTTTGTTTTTATTTCTCGAGACGGTGCAAAATCCAAAATATATAGTCCGAACTCAGCCAAACAAGTTTAATAGATTAGGTAGAGGATGAAAAATCTTGCTTTTGATGCAAAAATCGAAACTGGGGAGATTTCCAATAAAAAAACACTAATAAAATGTATTGAAGGACTCATGTCATCCATCCAATCTGTTTGATCGTTTAGCTTTGGATGATAGTGAGTATGGGTCTAAGGACCCTAATTGATTTTAGTGAACCGAGCTTAGGTCCAAGGCCATTCTTTCTCTTCCATATGGGTCCAAAGCCCATAAAACAGTGAGGATCCGGCCCACTTTGGTCCAACCCGAAAAATAACTGGAGCAAGTAGGTTTGGTTAGTAAAGGCTATGCATAAATGAACCAGCCAATAGGATTACATCATTTGGCTCATAAAATAAGTTGAATAAATAAATCCCTCTTGAGTTAGAAATTAGTAGCCATTAACTTGTAGGATTTGAGTTGGGGAAATCAATGGGGAACATGCATGAGAGTTGTCAGCAGCTATTGACCTAGATGGATGTTAGCCATTGACAGTCCAGATATTTTGATATGGTATGATTGTATGAGGATATTCCAATACATTACAAAATCTAAATGCAAGCTGACAGTTTTCGATATAATGTTCTCGAATCCAATACCATGACAAAAGTTTACCATGTATTCCATAAACTAACTGAAGCAAAAGGGTTTGGTTCTGTAAAGTAGTTTGTTCCACAGCTAGTTTAAGGATGAAAGTTAACCGTGAAGCAAGAACATATTCACGTCCAATCTACATATTCTAAATGTTTGTAGCTCGTTGGTTTTGTTCTCGATCGTTGCTCGATCACCATCAATCCAAGGCAAGAAAGTTGCCACAATTATTTGATGTACATTACATAGACGTGCTTTTTGGATCATGACATGGAATTTATAATCATGCACGGGGGATAGAACACAAAGTGGGATAGAATAATGAGGTTTAATGGAACAGGCAGCCGACAACATATATAGAAAAGGATGCTCAATGTTCTTCAAGGATTGATTTGGTTTTACTGTTTTTGTCGTATAAATATTAATAAGTTATTGGTTTAGTAGTAAATGATCTGGTTTCAGATAAATTTTTTACTAATATATAAAGTTTGAATTCTAAAATCATATTAATTGAAAAATATTAAATCTTATCGCTTTTATTCCGAATATAATTAATTCTATCTTCAATATTTAAATATATTTTTTAAAAAGTTATTAGTTATTATATCATATATCATATTTTATATTTTTTTAAGAATATATATATATATGATTAGTTATGAAATTTAATTCTACACGACATCAAAACAATATTAATTTAAGAAAAAAAATCTATTAAAAATTAATATGGTAAAATAAAGGAAAATTAATTAAATTAATTAATAATCAAATTTGAAAAAAAATATAAAAAAATAACATATTAATGGAAATATATAATATACTTTCAAAATATCATAAACTATCTTAGGAAAAGAAAGCTTTCACGACCGTCCTGATTTAAAACATTTTTTAACTTTCTGTTGTAGATGATCCTCCCACTTATCCATGTACGCAGCTTGACTCAAAGTACATATGTAAAGACATGCAAAAATGTAATAAAACTGTAAAAAGACACAAAAAAAAAAAAAAGGTTTGAACTTCAGCTAGCTAGGAAGTGGGATTGATCGCACTGCTTGCGTTTGGTTCTAATAAGGAAGAGAGGGGAACGTCTAGCGCCTTGATAGAGACCGTTTGAGAGGAAGTCGGGGTTCCTGGACGGCTAGCTTCATACTCATCTTCAACCTCACCAAGAGTGTATATGGCCTTTAGTAGTGTGCATGCCGTGAACGAAGAGTTCATTGAAATGATCAGTTGTTCGTTCCTGAGCTTTGGTTCTTGGATTTTGCATCACTACTTACGAGTTCAAATGACTCGTGTGATCAGATATTCCAAGCAAACCACACTTGGGGATAGGATCCCTAATCGAAACCAATGAATGATTAAGAATTTGGATAATGCCTCTACGAGACATCACTGTCCTGCTATCCTGGATGTCCGTTCCGGACAAAAAATATGACGAAACAAATAGGACATGCATTTAATAAGAACATCATCTCAAGACTGTCCTTGTGTAATCAATAACAACAACGATAATGTTGTCATTCTCAGACAACAAGTCATATTTAGAGCCATAGATTTTCCAATTCAGTGTCAGAGGCTGTCGACAACTAAAGATTAGAGCATTCTATTCCCTCCGCCATACATGTATTTTGATAGAAATTTCACGTATATAATTAAGAAATCTAACCGCTAAGAGTTTCATATCCCCGATCCTGCTTATCCTTCATTGAAACAAATTTTTTGTCGAAATTTTCGTTCAGTGAATCGTTCATCGAGAAGTTTTTATCAATGGAAATTCTGTTGACAAACAATAAACAAACCATACTATCAAATCCAAAAACTATACAAACTCGTCAAAATAAAGAAAAAAATCAAAGAAACTAATAATACATAATCTTACATACCATAAATATAGTAAAAAAAAAAAAAATCAATAACAACATTAAAAAAAAAAACAATCACAGAATCTAAAAAAACCTAACCACAATATCTACACATAGTATTCAAAATTATAAAGAAAGAAAGCAATAAATAAGAGAAAAGAAAAAAGGGAAATAAATAAAGATGAGAAAATAATAATGGAAAAAATAAAATGGAGAAAAAATTATAAAGGGATGATGGTGGATTTGATTGGAAGATATAAAGAATAAGAAAATATTAGAAGATAAAGAATGAGAGGAAATGAATTTTTGATACGGTAGAGATATAAATGAAGAAGATTTAAGACTAGAGAAAATATTTTCAGGATGGAGGGAAACCAAATTTTGGATAAAATTTTAAATTACAGATATTTACTACCTGGATACTTAATTTGTAGGTTATTTTATGTTTGGAATCATTTTTCTCAAGAAAGAAACAAATTTTTGGAGGGAAATTTTAAATTTCTAATGAAAAATAATTTTTGTATGCATGTATATTTTTTTTATTCATTTCTAAATTTAATTTTTAATTTTATAATTAATTTGGTTGATTTTTTATAAAATAATTGTTCATATATTTTTTATTTTTTAAAAAAATTATATAAAAAAAGATTATAATTATTTTTATGGAAATAAAATTTTGATTGTTTTTTATAAATATTCTTTTACACACAAAAAAAAAAAACGTTGACCATTATTTTATTTTTTTATGGAATTCCATATGGTTATTAAATTTTAAAAAAATTATTTTTTTTCCCTTGAGAATCCATTGTAAATATATTTAAAAAATAAAGTTGTAGATGTTATCCGGTGTGTAGCAGGAGAGCTTTGTGAGAGAGAGAGCTCAAAAGTTTTTGCTAGAGACCAAAAAGTTAGAATTCCCCTAATAATAATGCTAGGTTGGTATTTCTAGTGAAATAAAAATGACTTTTGACTCGCTAGGATCATTTTATGTAATCTATATTTGGATAATTAGATTTAAGTAGTAAAATGTTCAGTTCTTTTAAGCTAAACTATTTCAACTTGCTAGTAAAGACTAAAGAAAGTAACAATTGGGCATTTTTTTAGCAAGCCCCGCTTCGAGCCTACTAGGTCAATCTCTTTAATGCATCCAAAAAATAAGACATTGACATTGGCCATGCTATAATATTCATATCCATTCTCTCAACCCAAGGCTTTATACTTAGCGAGGTCCATTCGTGGTCTAGACTTATGCCAAAACGAAGAAAAAATAATATGGATTAGCACATAAAAAAAATTTAACTAAATTAATTTTAAGGAAAATCGAGCATATATATTTAGCTTCTGCACGAGCGAGACTTGTCAAGCAATGATGCTTGCACAATCATGTACAATAGTATAAAAAAATAAAGTTAGAAAAAATAATCTAAAAATAATTATGATAGATTTTTCTTGAGTCTTTTGACATATGAAAAATAAATACAACATGTAATAGACTTGATGTAAGCCTTCCAATGCATATAAACTACTTGTAGGCTAGCCATGAGCCTCTTTATTCAAGAAATAATATAATAATCTATTTTTACCTATCACGTTTGAATCACAAAAGGGTTAAAAATGGGTCTTCGAAGTGGCTTTTGACCTCAAAAATAGCTCTTGACGATTCTCTCGTCGCTATTAAGTTGTGGATCTTTGAATTAGCTTTTCGGATTGATAGGGTTTGCATTAAATAAACAACCAAATTAAAACATTATGACACATTAACTAAGCAAGTACATGCATATCCTTTTTTAGCTTGTTGGTTAATGCCATCATGACTCGCCTTAAACGACCTCTTTTTTTCTTAGTGTGTTAGCCAGCACCTATCATGATCAATATTGTTGGACAACACCTATCGTGACTAGCATTGTTGGCCAATCCGTAGCTTTATTCTTTTTTCTTTTTTTGGTGTGCTCGTTAGCGCCGGTCGTGGTCGGTAATACTAGCCCGCCATTAGCTCTAATATTTTATTTTATTTTTATAAAAAAATGAGTCAAAATGTATGGACTTGTCAAAACATTTCGTGACCATTACTTTTTGTTGTAATCAAAATTTGTTCAAAAAATTTGGTATAAATGACAAACTTACTTGAATGCGAGTAGCCTTTCAAGTGCCATACCAAACACTTTGTCATTTGCTGGTTTGTATCAAGAAAATCAATCGAGTCTATTGAATTTCCTTCCTTTATCATATTGGTCTAGATTTGACTAAAAGGCAGC